GGTAGAGTCAATATTGTTTCATGTATGCTTGTTTTTGTTTGTTTGTTTGTTTTCCTGGAAAGTAATATGGAAAAAAGTATAGAACTTACATATTTCTATATGTAAGATATACACATCCATAATATTCTTCTGGACCCTGGGATTCTATCTGTGGGAGATTGTATCCAATAGAACAGTAAGACAAATACACAAAGGCAGACATGCAAGGGTGTTCTTGGGAACAGGTGATGGCACAAAGATAATGCAGAGTTTTCAGAGCTGGCCAATGGGGAGACACCGTGTTTACATCCAGAGACCACAATGTGTACGTCAGGCACACGGGTGCCCATGATCGGGGGCTGGCTGAGGCTGGGAGTCAATAACGGTCTGAAAGACCCTGTTGGAGTGCCTCCCTCTTGCTCACTGAAGAATTAAATAAGTAAACTTAAAAAAAAAAAAAGAACATTCTTTGTGATGTTTATAATAGGGAAAAGTTTTCAATTGTTCAAAAGTTGAATAGCAGATGGACTAAAGAAAAGCATAATATTTTATATAATATTATGGTAAAAATGATAAAGCAGAAGTGTATTTCATGATGTAGAAACACGTTTGTGATATAAATATAGTTTTAAGTGAAAAAGTAGTTTACAAAATAGAATGAGCAAAGGTATGTACTTACCCACTGTGCATGATATTCTACATACACACAGACCTTCAGGAAGACCCCAGGATATCAAATTGTCAAAATGTTAATGAGTATTATCTCCTAGTAGTGTACTTTTAAGTAGAGGGTTTGTTCCAATATCCTAATATTTTCTAATTTTTCTTCTGTTCTTTTAATTACTCACAGGATAAAAATTTGCAGGAAAATAAACCAGAATGCCTCCCTAATATTATTTTGGCCTTCACTGATGAGTATAAATGTCTGTGTGTGTGTTTATAAACCATTCAGCAAAACAAAGCCATCTGCAAATAATTTTCTGGAGCGAGCCCACTTCTCAGTCCCAGGAAAACACAGGATGTGACACAGATAAACAGAAGGAATTTCAGAAGATGCTTCTCCCACATTTTAGCTGTTGGCACCTTCCACTGGAGCACCAGTGAGGCTCCTCCGGGATGGATTAGGGACCCAGATTGTGTGAAATGTGCCAGGGTTCAGAAGGCAACCATGGTGGCTTAGCCAGGAGACATGAGCTTAGCACGGAGCTCTCCAGCCATGAATGATGACACACATCTTTCCGTAGCTCAAATGCCCACCTTCTTCTCCAGGCATCTGTCCACCTACCTCACCTTGCAAACTAGTGCCCCTTATGCTTTTGTTAGTTGAGCAAAGCTCTGACAACATAGATTTGTTCTACTCTAATTTTAGGAATTCTGAATTCTAGAAAAGCAAATGTCGAAATACTTCCTGCTTCAGTTGTTCAGAATTACTTCTGAAAATTGGGTGAAATCCTGACAGCCTGTCTCCGCACATACACATATCTCACATCTATTTTGGGGGATTCACAAACTCCCTGAAGCTCTTGAGAGGTTGACCTAGAAGACGGACCCCAACTTAGCCTGAATCCTCCAACTTGGAAGTGACTCCACCCACTTAATATTCAGGGGTAACCAAGGCTCCTGTTGCACCCTGCCCCTGCCTGCCCACCCCTCTCCCCATCCATCCCTTCCTCACTTCCTGCATCTACAGTGTCTGTCCTTTCCCTAATGGTAGACCCACAGCCTGAAGTATCTCCACCATACTTCCCCCACCACCAATTTTCTTCAGTTTTCAAAATTGTGTCACTTTTATATCTTTTGATAAAAATAAATGTAGTAGCTGGAAGCAGCTTCTATAAAAGACGCATTCCACCCTCCCTTTCCCTCATGACTTACATT